TTTGTTGATTGGAACTTGAAGCTCATTCGTTGTATTTGACGGTCTGTTACCCTATAGGCGGATAATAACGGACTGTTGTTGGTGAAATTGGCCCTAAGACTTTTTTATGGGGCTATTTGAATCAAAAGGTGTACGAAACTGAACCTGTTTCAATATTGGATATACGGCTGAGAATAACAAATATTTGTAGAAATATCGATGTTACTATTTCCAACATCTTCTAAACTGAACTCAACGTCTTTATTCGAAGCCTAAGCGCCGGAACACCGCGGCTGCTATGATGATCCCTAACAAATTTTGTTATATGTTTTTTGTACTGCCTAAGGTTAGTAGAACTAGAAAAAGCTTCCTCTTGTAGATTGTTCCACAATCTCGACACCTTCGGGACAAAGGAGCGGTCGTATCGGCCAGTTCTGTATGTACGAAGTTCGACACGATTAGGATGGGACGCCAAAGTCAGGCGGGTCTGTCTGGCAGGCACATCGCGCTGCAGCATCAAGGAAGAGAGCTCTGAGGAGCAAAGCCCGTTGGTGTAGCGACAGAAAAGAGCTAGATCGCCGACGGCCCGCCGGTGCTAAAGGTCTCGAGACTGTCTGTTAGAGAAGAGTCATCGATCAGTCGGACCGCTCTCCTCTGGACAGCATCGAGCATAGATGAGGTAGTCGGGACAGCAGCACCCCAAACGTGTGAGCAGTACTCGAGGCTAGCCCTCATCTGGGCCTTGTATAGAGCGAGAAGGTCATGCAAGGAAAAGTACTTCTTAGCCCTAAACAAATAGCCTAGCTTTTTCCCAGCAGCTGCAGCTATTGACGAGATGTGTTCGTGCCAGATCAGGTCCTCGGTGATCTGCACTCCGACCAGCCGAAATGAATGACTCTTTGGCAGAACTCGGCCGTCCATCGAAACTGGATGAGCGCTAGGATGCTTTTTGTGGGTCAAAGTACAGTACTGTGTTTTGGAAGCATTGAACTGTACAAGATTGTTGCATCCCCAAGCAGTGATAGCCTCCAGGTCTATTGTCAGAGAGGAAGTCGTCGCTAGTCTTCTTTACCCAGCTCAGCGGTAGAGATCGGCTTGCCACTCTGAATGTCTGCATTTAGCAAGCGAAGCTGTGGATTGGGTTGATCGTGCAGGAAAGGAGGTCGTTGATATGTGGGAAACACCCGCGTTGACGTTGTTGGATGAAGAGGAGAACCCCCCAAGTTTGCTTAAGAGGGCAGCGTGCCACGGCTGATCGACCGCTTTAGTGATGTTGAGAGCAACGTCATGAGCCTCACCATAAGACTGGATGAGTTTACTCCACAATTGCGTGACGTAAGCTAGGAGGTCCCCTGTGGATCGTTGGTGCCGTAAACCATACTGCCTGTCGCTAATCAAGCTGTGACGTTCGAGGTAGTCCAGAAGCTCGCGATTTATGCAAATCTCCATCAAGTTAAATGTCAATGTATTCAGGAAATTATTGGATGTGCCACCATTTTGTAGTAGGTAAAAGTATTGACTTTATATTCTAGGGTTATAAAGTACTCGTCAGGAGCTTCAAAATGATGTGTCACAAGACTCCCGTTTTCATATAATTTTTTTCCAAGATGGCGCCCAGCGGCCATCTTGACATTTTCATCTGTCAATTTTACTCTAAAATATAGGATCTACGCATCAATTTCATTACCTCAAGTCTTAATTTTTTGAATTGATCTATTCAAAAAGTCAAAGCGGAGGGGGGCATTAATGAAAAGCACTGTATATGTAACATCTAAACCGCCACGGGCTGCGCGTAGGGGGATCATACTTGCTAGACTGACATCCGTAAAACTAATTGTCGGGACTGGTGATATTGTACTAGCTTTTAGAATAAATCGTTGTTTCTGTGGTAGCGTAGATTGCCTTTTTGCCTCAGCTAAAAGGACTCACAATTTCAACCTTGCGAGGGTTACGTTTGACAACTTTCCATTAGTCTGGCAATTCTCTATCTAAAATGTAAGAGCTTACTATATTAGCAATGTAAGGGATGGCTTTATGGGAACGCAATAAGATCATTTCAAGATTTATATCAGCACTCATGGCTAGCGCTTTAATTCTAAAAAGTGCGTTATTGTAACAACATCCTCAGAAACTGTGTGAAACTCCTATTGCTATAATAGTGATCCAAAGTGTCATAGTCTATTGATGAGCTTGCCTAAAGGATCTGAAAAAAATGGTTACTTACACCATTCGGTTTATTCAGCTGATCGGGAATACTTACAAGTTGTTTTTTGTTACTAATGACTAATATTTAAAATCTCTGAATTATTTTCAAAGCACTTTAGTCTTATTGAAATTTATATCGACACAGTATTTCAAATAATTTTACTTTTCATTAATATATGGCAACATTCCTTTGATTTCTCATTTGTTTATAGTTTTCCCAATTGGCAGCAGTTTTGTTTTCCTTAAATTTCCGGAATTTTTCGTTTTTTAGATTAATTATGCGTTTAATGGTAATGAGGGCTTTCGACCATTAATTTGAATTTCCTTTACACGAAAAAAATATTCAACAGTACTTCATTAAAAAAACCCTGAACATTTGGTTAATAGATTAATTGTTCAAAAGGAGAATTCTCCATTTTCCCATTTTCCATTTTTATAACAATTTATAACAGATTTATTTAGTATACAAAAAGTTAATGAGTGATCGGAAATATGTGACGTATTCTTATATCAACAATAAAATCAGTATCATGCTATTTTATGCAACTCTAGTAGGTTCTTTTATCACCCGAATTGGATCAACATTGCCTTCATATCTATAAACTGTTAGTGTATCCTCGAAGTGTTCAATCAAATCGATGATACTACCACAGCTAAGACAACAACCAGTTATGAAACTCTCCTGTCACTGTCAAAAACGACCGTCATTTCGGCGAAGTATGTCGAATGTAAATTCCCCCAGTACAACTATGAAAGAGATTTCAGCGTTCCGTACTGAGTAGTCCTAGACGGTGTTGTCGCGTACCGTGCTAGCGGCCGCAAATGCGCTTGCAATCGTAGAAATGATTTCATTGCTATATGAGCTAATGATCAGTTTTTGTAGACCAATATTAAAAAAATCAGCATGTTTGTCCAAAAAGAAGCGACGGATTGTTGATTATTCAAGAAAAAGCCTTTTTCTTTTTTTTTGTTTCTCTGTTGAATTATTTTATTGTGACCTATTTCAAAATCAAATCGTATGAATATTTTTTAGTTTATAGCATTTGATGTTTAGATTTTTTAAGAAATTGGTGTAACTTGTTCCACAAATCCGCTGATCAACAGTCCTAGGCGGTATTGCCGCTTATCATGCTAGCGACGACAGATATGCATTCAATTGTAAAAATTCTAATATTGCCATATGATCTTGAGTAGTTTGTGTGAACCATTAATAAAAAAGGAGGATGTTTGTGCAAAATTGGTGTTTATTTATTTATATGCTTATAACCTTTTACTCACACTAGATCAAGAGACTGGAAATTTCAATAATACTCGTGTCTATAAAATGGTTTATTTTCTTAAAACCGCTTATACGAAACATCTATGGCAAAAATATAAGTATATTACGACGAGAACAGTGCCTGAACAATTAGAAAGTATACAATTATTTTATCTCATTTATCAGGTTACGATATAATGAGCCAACATAATGAGGATAGTTTGGCAACTGGTAAAGCAGTGAGCTATATCTATCGATCTATTGTAAGCAGGAATACATAATCTTTAAAACGTAATGTATTCATAATTATGGTTTTATATTAAATGACATTCAGATTGGTGCAAAAGTGGCAAATATGTCAATCATTATGTCAGTTATTCTAACCACGTTTAGCTTTTGTATAATGCGCGGCACAACTGATGCGCCATTCAGATTTATTAAACAAAAACCAGTTTTAATCTTTGGATGATGGCTGGCGCCACCCGTTCCGTTATAGGGATTTGTGGAAGAATTTCTTCAAAAAATCTAAACATCAAATGCTATAAACTGATAAATATTCATACGGGTTGATTTTGAAATAGGTCAGAATAAAATAATTCAAAAGAGAAACGAAAGAAGACAAAATTGTCGGGAACGGATGGGTCGTGAACCGCTGACCAAAAAGTGCAAAATTTGCGTAAATGTCATCATATTCCGAGGACCGAAACCTCCTATGATGATTTATGTGAAAAAGTATCATAATATTTCTTGAAACTTTCATTAAAACCTTCATGTGGTCTCAAAATGAAATTAGGGGGTTAATTCTATGGTACCATCATAGCATCATTTTAAAGAAATGTTGCTTCTGTAAAATGAGAAGCGGTAAAGAGATGTTTTCGTCTGGTTCCTTCATTTCTTCTATTTAAATGTATCAAACAAAAGTAAATATTTTCCCGTTTATTGTAAATACTGATAGCCTTCCACCATTACAAATTTATTCTGAAGCTTCTTCGTAAATAAATGATTATCAATACTCCATCGTTTCGTTTTTGCGATTGCAACGCATATCTGCGGCAGCTAGCGTGGTAGGCGGCTAAATCGCCTAGGACTACTCATTACGGATCGCTGAAAACTATTTCATCGATATACTGGAGGAATTTACATCGACATTCTCCGCCGAAGTGGCGGCCGTTTTTGATACTGACAGGAGAATTTCATAGCTGATTGTTATCTAAGGTGTAATATTAATTTTGGTTGTCTGTAAATACAGCCAACAGTATAGCTTACTTGATGCAATTTCACTGCAATCCAAATCGCATCAGAAATCAAATGTAAACAGAAGGCATCGGTCGGATTTTGTTGAAATTCTGACATAACGTTACTATTATGTATTAACCGCTCACACGCAATGACTTTGGTTGATCTTTCTTTAATTATAATTCATATGGAAGTAAACCTGGAGACAGAATTGCATAGAAAGTACAGAGTCAATCTACTCAACGCCATTTTTTAATAGTATTCAATTTTCTGCAGTGGCAGTCCCTAGGGTCTGTGTAGCTAGCTTGGTTTGTTTACTCACCTTGAAGAACGGGAGCAGTATCAACAAAGCTATGTTGTGAAGCTATTGTGATGCATAGGACCCACAATATGTTCAAATTCTGCATGTTGGTACTTCCTAGAACAAATGCGAATTTGAATTGACATATTTGAAATTAGTCAGAGTTAGCTAGAAAGTCTTCGGCTACTACAGAGTTCTACTACTCGGCAGTCCAATTTAAATACCCGGATGTTTTGCCAACTATATGTTATTAGCATCTTCTGAAGTAGACTAAAACTAGTTTTAGAAAGTCAAGTCGGGTGTTTAACCGGTTTGCTGAGCAGTATAGTTGTGTAGCAGTCGCTGCGCCAAAGATAAAGATATAATTTGGAAATCGAACAATTTTTTGCGGGCGTGGCGGACAAATATTTGAATATTTGAATATTTCGGCCGCTAGGGAAGAGTAATATAAAATATTTTCCACGCCATGGACCTTTTAGAATATGTATTATGTTTTTGAATAAAAAAGATTAACATTACATGAATTCTTTACCGAAATTTGTGTCAGGCCATTCCTTTTGATAAGAAATTGGTTTAATAATAATAGTGATAATAACATTTATTATCCATCTAAAATAAGATTGCACGTATGACTATGCTTATACAGGGTGACTTTGAAGTTGAGTCATTAATTTTCAGATAATGATTGTAGAAGGAAGATAAACCAAAATATGTGTGTAAAAATAAAAAAAAAATAAAAAAAAAAATGTTACCTTGTTTTATAAAGTATCCTCCCGACAAGTATTTCAGTGCGGACCTGTATTTGATCGTGCGGTCTTGGAGCACCGGGTTGGTTGCACTCGATTGGGAAACCGATCCGCAAAATCCGTGATGCCGCGTAAATAAGAATCATGTCCACAAGTTCAGCATTTTCGTAAACATGTGCCATTTTTGATTTCGTTTGAGCCACGCAACACACACCACTATTCACTCACGCGTTACCAACTGACACAACTGAATAAAATAATTGTAAAAACATCGTTCCAAATTCTTTCTCTTTTTTGTTTCCGATGCGATGAATCGATAGTGCGGATTAATTCCGTTGTTGCCAAACACGAGCAGATATTATTATTGAGACAGGGCGGTACTCAAACTTCCAAAGGGCTATAACTTTGATACTTTAATTTTACCAGAAAAATGGTAAAGGAAAAAAACATTTCTTTTGATCAGATCTACTCACTGTTAAAATAAATGACTCAACTTCGAAGTATATAATCAATATCAGTAGCTTAGAACTATAATTATACACCAATCTGGTTTTCGTGAAGGTCACAGTACGACTACTGCACTACTACATCTTGCAGATGAGATACTTTCCAACCTTGACAACAAATCCGGCACGCTGTTGGTCATGCTTGATTTTTCCAAGGCTTTTGATACGGTCAATCATGAGATTCTTTTGAGTAAGCTAAAATATTATGGCATGTCGGAAGTTCCTTTGAATTTCTTCAGATCGTACCTAACTGATCGCACCCAAAGAGTGAAAACATCTACAGGAACTTCTGATGCACGGTAACTGTCATCAGGAGTTCCACAGGGTTCAGTACTGGGACCTCTTTTATTCCTAGTATACACATTCGATCTGCATGTGTGTGTAGAACATTGTTGCATTCAAATGTATGCGGACGATACACAGCTAACATTTCGTTTCAATGAATCCAACTTACATGCAGCATCCTATAAAATTAACCTAGATCTTGATAACGTATTAACGTATTGCAATAGACACTGTCTCCGCATCAATCCATCAAAATGCACCGCGATACTCTACTGTCCTAGACATTCAAATTACAACATCACAAATCGAGTCTCCTTATTTATCAACGACATAGATATTCCATTTTGTGATAATGCTAAGAATCTAGGTGTTATGTTTGATTCAAATCTTCAATTTAACTTACATGTGAATAATATTATGAAGTTGAGTTATATGAAGATGAAGCTTTTATATTCTAGTCGCCATATCCTAAACTTTAAGTGCCGTAAAAAGTTGTGTGAAAGCCTCATATTATCAATTTTAGCTCACTCTCTAGTCCTCATTTACCCATGCCTAGACTCAGCTTGCAAGTCAAAATTTTAGAAGCTCCAGAACAACTGTTGCAGATTCATATTTGGGCTTAGGAAGTACAGTAGCGTTTCTTCAAAAATCAAGGAGATACAGTGGCTCAGAGTTGACGGCTTATACAACTACTCTATAGCTTCATTGGTGCATAGAATTTTTAAAACTGGTAAACCCGTCTATTTGCTCTGTAAGTTGATTCCTAGTGGAAACCAAAGTACTCTAAATCTGCGGCACAATGATCTACTTTCCATTCCTATACATCGTACGTCGGTCTTTGAAAGGTCCTTTACTTATAATGCGGTCAAGGTATACAATTCTTTACCAGCTATCTCTAAGAGCTTAAGTTTGCAGCGCTTCAAGAAGACAGTCAAGTTGCACTTTCTGGACTCAGCACATTGAGTGATAAATTCATTTTGCTGAACGATATCTTGTTCTTTTGTTTCTTTTCTTTGTATATGTTCATATTATATATTTACTTCTTTTTAATGCATTCCTTACAGCTACTGATTCATGTTGTTATGCTAATGTTTTGTGATGTCTGGTTGTAGTATGGTTAAGTGATAGAGTAGCCATGGCTAAACTTCGCCATACTATGATCATCTTCTGAATAAAGTCATTATTATTATTATTATTATTATATGTAAATAACCTGTGACCCATGACACAGAACTTGTATTTTCAACTAAGCAGCGAATTTATTTTATCACACATATACTGGATTTAGAATACGTGTGATATGTGTCCAAAGAGTATGTGACTTTTAGGATTACATAAATGTTGTACAACCCACTTACTGCGGATACTGCCGTTTCGGTATCACACATAAAGATGAGCTTCAACAGCCTTGTCTCTCATGCTTGAACTTAAATTGTTACTGCCTAGCAAAGCTCCTGGTATAACCTAAAGCCTCTTGCAGAAAGCACTTGGGACATATTTTCCATATTATCTGATTTTACGGATATATGGCAATGACTTGGTTTGGTATCTAATAATAAAGTAGATATGCTACAACCTTACTTGGATAATCAGATAATCACATTGAACAGAGTTTTCTGACTTAATCCGAAATACCACAGGACCTAGCAGACTATCAGTTACAACTGAACTTCCTAAAATAGACGTCATTCAGAATAGTATGTATGATCTTATTGAATTTTTAGGTTTCAAAGTACGGTGATTTAAATGCATCAGTTTATTGTTTGCGGTTTTCTTACAATGATGGCTTAACATGTCCCAAAAGAGTGTACCGCTGTCAAAGCTTTCTGTAGAAAAGTGTTCTATATGAAAGTTGTGTAGTTTATTAGATACGCGCCAGGACCAAGGCAATGTCAATCATCCAATTAATAAAAGAGTTTTGTGTCGATGAGAGGCAATATTAATAATAATAATATAATAATAAATTGCTTTTATTGCTCATGTAAGTACAGAAAAAGAAAAAGTATATAAATCTGATGCAGTGAACAAACGGCAAGGTTCGCTTGATTGATATTGATGATATATTTGCCGTAATTTGGAGTCGCAGAAAAATACTGTGCAATTCAAGAAACTTTCAGCTGCGCAGTTAACTAGTTAAGGCCTCTCCATAAAGAAAACTTGTCTGCATTTGGTATGGATAAAAAAGCTGCCCCTAAAATTTACTATGTATGCCTTCTGTTTTTGTTTTTTGTCGGCTATTTGGGCAAATTGGCTGAGTGACTATTATTAAATAAATAATAGTTTAAAAACCTAAGAAACACACTTTTATAGCTAACCAAACTGAAAAGTAGAAAATAATTAATTAAATAATAACTTCAAAATAAAATTATAATAAATAAGTTATTAACAGAAAAATTCAATTCAGAGTAAAAAGCGTGGGGTGCTTGATATATATGTTACAATCTTTCTATTGCCAACTACTTATGAGAGGAAAGTTATGAAAATGTAGTAAAATACACCCCACGCTTTTTAATCTGTATTGAATTGTTCTGTTAATAACTTGAATTTTATTATAAAATTATTTTGATGTCATTAATTATGATTCATTGTTCAACCATCTACATGTACTACTGTAATACAAACTCTTGCTAAAAAGCATGTGTTTATTTACTTCTCTGTTTTAGTTCGATTTATCAGTTAGTTTTTTGTGGACATCTGGTATTGAAATGTCTTACGAATCATTTCATTCAAAGCTTCACTGTTATCTAAAGATCTTACACAACTAAGTGCTACATAAGCTTGTTCAGCAGCAAACAGTCGCGAGCCTAGATAAATCACTGCATGATCGACTGTACAACCTTGCATCTTGTGGACGGTCGAAGCCCAACTCAGGATTAATGGCAACATTCGCAATGAACAAGGTGAGAATTCACTAACTTGAAAAATTATCTGCCTCCATTGTGCTGTGCCGAGTGCCCAAATCAACAAAGAATAAGTCTGGAACTGCACGCATGCGCAGATCGCGCGCTAGCGCTATCTCTCTTACTCACCTACAGAGGATGTATGAAAGAATTTATCAATCCTGGCGATCCTAATAAGGAGAATGGAAAATGATTATCAAATTATTGCATTGTCATCGGTACTTGAATCGTGTGCGAAGTTTCGGATTAAGCAAACTTCTGGAAATTGGTCAAAATTATGCTCAAAGATTCCGTTACATACATACAAACCAAGCTAATAAAAGTGTGTTAAAAAATGTCCTGCGCCTTGTACTGGCAGGTATAGACGCACTGAAGCAGTTTCACTTTGAAACGTTTTGATTGTACGTATAGACACCAGCTGAAAATATTGTAGGTATATTGAACAGTCGGCGCTAGCGAGCATTCAAATAAGAAATGTTAGTATCCATGTCTAATATTAATTAATTTTCCTAACTAATTATTAGAGTTACGTTTCATTTATCGTAACCTGTTCTATCTCTTCGATACCTGATTTCTTTACAAGTGCGACTATATTTTGCTTTTGCGTAGTGGCGGATCTAAAAAATGTTTCCAGGAGGGTCCATATGAAAAAAGTGATGAGGGAAGAGTACTCGTAGGTATCGCTGATCGAAAATTAAAGAACGGGAGGGGGGTCGTCGCAAATTGAAAAACAATTATTTTAAACTCTGATATTTCGGACACCCCCATGTATCCGCTACTGCTTTTGGCA